GTTAACTAGCCTGGGTCCAGGATAGCTTGAAGCAAAGACACCTTTTAACATCTGGAGATTTGGGAATGCGGTTTTTCAGTTGCAATCTTGTTGCAGCTTGTTCCTGAAACGTGCAAAATGCATTTCAGTTCTTCGGGTGCACGGCTTGTCGTTGGCAGGGTTTTTCACATTTCCAGCATGCCAACGGCCTGAAGCCTGACGGCACCACCGGAGATTACAACTGCGGCTGTTGCAGCTCAAGTTCCTCGATGCGATTCGACGTTTGAGACCGACACAGATTTCACAGTTTGTTTGCGCAGGGAGCCTGGAACCTGGAACAAGAATGAATAGGGCTATGAAACTAACGTAGTCTTTGCGAAAAACACACTGAGGATTGCGAAAGCTTGCGAAAGCATTGAGTGAAAGAGTCCTTGAGAAGTAATGTCGCGTAAGCTCTGCGAAAGAGTATTTTCCTATTGCTTGAGAGCCTACGATGTTTGGTGAAAAAGGTTGCAAACATTTGCTTTAACCAATCCGCCGCGTATGCGCCGCGCAAGTGTTTTTCAAACACACCTTCTGTGCGAAAGATAAAACTGCAGTTGCGAAAGTGCTGCGAAAGCTTATGCGAAAAACTTGTGTTAGTCGAAAGGAATCTTATATACTCTTCCGGGCAAGGCTTTCAATTATTTGCTGTCTTGGAGTGTCCGCTTTGCGACTTTAGCAAAGATTCGGAGTCATTTTTTTAAGACCCTCAGACCTCCTTCACTTTCCTTGTCGGTTCTTTTCTTTTTGGAGGACAAGGGTGTGCTGTCTACTAGACTACAGTCCAGTGAGAAACGCGAAAACTTTTGGAGAATCACCCGAGGTGTGACCAACTCAGACCCGACGTGGGGTGTCAATGTCTACTCGTTAGAGCTGCCTACAGCTGCTGCTTCTGACGCTTGGACTGAAATGGCCTCCAACCTAATAGCGATGGCCTCCAACCTAACAACGATGGCCGATGGCCTCCAACCTAGTAGCGATGGCCTCAACGTAGTAGTTCCTTTCTTGTTTCAGACATTAGAACTATTTAAAATTTAGAAGAACATAGCAAGGGTTGTTTATTTTTGTTGTACACGCTAAGCAAGATTTTAGCTGCATTTGCTCAGACTACGGTGACCTACAGCTGCGCGCTCTTCATCCTTGGCTTTGCCAACATCCTGGTGTAAACGATCTATTTTCTCTTATGTTTCATCTGAGAGAGTGTCAACCTCTTACGTTTCACATCTTAAGCGACAAGTGGCGAAGCAAAGCAGCCCTTCGCCGTGACCATGACATGCGCGCCTGCGCAAGAGCTTGTTTGCACTAAGCTGTTGAAAAGATGAAGCTGGCTCGGTCGACAGTGCTGTTCTTTGATTCGTTGTGAATTGACTCCTTCCTTTACTTTTGCTGCTTTCCAGTTGTTCAGTGTGATCCTGACTCGTCAGACATATACTGCAAAGCGATTTTGTTGCTCGTCGTGTTTGGCAGGCTCAGGAGATTGGATCTCGAAACGATCCCATCTCAGGACATGCGAACTGATGTTTCAGATTGTGGATGCGACGCCTCGACCACGGTGGACCCTCCGAGTTGCGAGCGACTCAAACCATGTTTGTATGACTCCGCATGGTTCGCACTCCTTTTTAAAGGCCACAAAGGAGCCAGAAGGCGCGGCTAGTAGGTTGGAGAGGGCATGATATGTGGCATCGTCACAGGGTGCACAGAGCGTGCACACAGCGTGCACACAGGCTGGAGTTGCACTCAAGTGCACTCTTATCGATTTGTTTTCCTCAGTTCGCAGGAAGAGATCGGAAGAGATCCTTCTCTTGCACCTCTTCTGTGACGAGCTTCCAGGCGCTTTGCATTTTATCACTCCCTCAGTATCGATTTCCGGTAGTGACAAGTGCCTTACTGGTAGTAACAAGAAGCTATTAATTTAATTCTAATAGCTTTTTGTTACTTTCAACTCCACAAAGCTGTTTGATCTCGATCCTTTGGTGACGAAGGCTAGCTCTGCATCTAGCATCCGCGCTGGCATGCCGATCCGAGCTGCCCCCGTGAAGGAGGACGGCTGGTAGGTTAGACGGCAGTTTCTCAAAGGGTGCCAGGAATACAATTGAAATAGCATCAGTGCTTGTGGTGGCACGGACAGTTGCACATTACGAACCGGGATTTGAGTTCTTAAAAAGCGGTTTGCCTTTGTTTTGTTTCGTTTCTTTTCCTTTTGCCTCCACTTTTGCTTTTTTTGCCTCCACGCTGCGGTCCGCAGGTGAAGCCCAAAAGGAGGAGCGGAGAGGCCACATTGAGAATAGTGCTTTCATGACACGGAGAACCACAGTGTCCAATAGTGGAAGCTTGCTCGCTAGTAGTAGCGTCCTTGCTCCTAGTAGCGATGCCCTTTGCTCCTAGTAGCGTCCTTGCTCCTACCCCCCTCAGTCCTAGTAGCTTCTTGTTTAATTCTAAGTAAATTTAGATTCTAATTCTTGTTTCTACTAGCAAACATTGCTCCTAGGAGTAAGGCCAGGAGCCCCTAGTAGCGATGCCCTTTACTCCTAGGTTGGAGGCCGGAGGTTCCGTAAGCAACAGTCAGAGCTTGGCAGGTCAGCTTGGGAAGTCGAAGGCCAGGGCCTGCGAGAGCGGAGCCAAGTCTGATGCAGCCAAGAGACCAAATAAGAGTGGACATCACTGGATCACTGATGAAGCTCGGAAAAAGGGGCTTGGGAACCTCGCATTCAATCTAGCAAGGACGGCTTGGGAACCTCGCACTCTGGAACCTCGCAAGCGTAACTGTAGTCCAATAATCAGAACTTCAGGGCTGCGCGTTGAAACTGTCTCCATAGGGAGAAGTTAAGCTCAGCTTTTTCGAAACCAAAATAATGTTTCTAATAGCTTCTTGTTACTACTAGTAAGGCGCTTGTTACTAGAAGCGATGCACTTGTTCCTAGTAGCTTATTGTTTCTACATATTAACCTGTGAAAGTCACTTCTAAGCGTCTCAGGGTGCGGCCTTTGGCTGAACGCTTGGAAGCGCACGTGGAGGTGGCCATGCGACGTGCCAAGGCGGGTGCCTTCAATGAAGTGTTCTTTTGGCTAGGAACAAGGACGCTACTAGGGGCTCCTGGCCGTACTACTAGGAGCAAAGGACGCTACTAGGAACAAAGGGCATCGCTA